GGATGTAGGGTAATGGATAGGTATCTGAAGTCTAGAAAGTGTTTTCTTTCAATTCTTCTCTGGATGCTGAAAGTAGAAATGACTGTTAGATGATCTGTCTTTGTTCTGAATGCTAATCCTGGCCTGAGCGTTTATTTTCTAGGTAAGTTTAGATCACTTACTGCATGTGAACTGTGTGCTCTCTAATCTGATGTAGCTGGTGGGAAGTGAAGTAAATAAAAATTATTTCAAAGTTCTATAAACAAGAAATGTACTTTTAAGAGCAGAAACATGGAGGTGACACCACTTCGGGGCAAAGACGATGTAGAGGCATCTCCCATATAATTGGCACCTATGGACACAAACGTCTAACAGACGCCATAAGTCTGTAGAGTGAAGCTACTATTATTTTCTAGTATTGTTTATTCGACTTGCCAACTGACTGTAGACAAGCAAACAATTGTTACTTAGTGTTCTCAGTTATGAGAAAAGGGTGCTAACAGCAGCAATTCTTAGACGTTCTGTAGGGAATTCATAAAATCAGGTACTCAGAATGCTTTCTAATCCATGTAAAAGGTCAAAACAGAAGGTATCTCAAAAGTATTTGTTAAGGGTAAAAATTGTCAATTGCTTATCTTTTTAAATTGCTCATTTGAAATGGCACACTCTGTTGCTGTGGTTCTAGAAGTTGATTCCAAGTCATAGTGACCCAACCAGATGCTTTCATATTATTGTGACATATTTCTTCATGTCATTTAAAATCCTGAGGTGAAAGTCATGTTTTAAGCATTAAGTAAAATATTAAGGGTTCATTAGTAGCATTGGAAATGAAAGCTGCTATAAAAATCTAGCATACTGCTTCCTTTTCCATATGCAGATCATCGTGTCATTATGGTAGGAGACATTCAGTTCTCTAACCTAAAACATAGCACTCACTGCTTCTTAGAAACAAGACACAAAACCCCTAAACAAGCAGGAAATCAAAACTGTCTTCTTGGCATTAGACTTCATTTATCAATTAAATGTAATAATCTTTAATGGATCAAATTTTAGGTGATGTGCTTTGACAATTAGGATGCATGTTTGGGAATAAGAGGTTGAAATAGTATTTAAAAATGCTATTTAGATCATGACATGTCTTTAATTAGTAAGATGAATGTTTAATATCTGTGTCTATCATTGTGTTACTTACCAGAAATAATAAAGTAAAATTACAGCAAAAAATCAGCAGGTTAGTGATGAAAAATTAGTCTGGGAAAAGTAAATATGTTTTTATCCAATGACAAATATAATGATATCATGTTGTGACTGTATAAAAATGTAGGCATTTAAAAGAAATTAATAAAGTCAAATCAGTTGATTTTACACCTAATACAGGTGTAATAATAATAATAAATAATAATAATAATAACAACCTAATAACAGGTTCCATGTACAGAGACCACGAGAGCTCAATTAGGTATTTCAGATTTCACAGTATTCACAATGTTACCCTTAATCCGTTATAATCCACCCAGTGGAATGGCTTTGTATAATGACTCAAACACAAGTAAACATCTCTGTGGGATCCCTTCCTTGCATCCAACAGCTATCTGACATCAGCAATGATAGCTCTTATCCAATATCCTCTCCTGAAACTAGTTTGAATTTCTGGCATTTGTTGATGTATTACATTGACCATTGAATGACAGTTAAAGTAATTAAACAAAACCAAACCAACATACTATTTTAAACTTGCATAAAGTTGATAGTAAAGTATTTGTGGCATATTTCCAATTATATATATTAATGGAATTGGGAGAAGATTAATCGATGGGACCTCTCTTTATCGTAGGAGTATGCAATGAGGGTTGTAGAGTAGATTATATTTGGGGCTAGGGGGTGCGGTTTGGGGAGGTGCGGGGGGGGGATTGTGTACCAATGAGGGAGTTTTTCTTTTGCTTTTCAAGGAGAGGAGCAAATGGGGGGAGGAGGGGGGAGGGGTTTGTGTGGGGAGAAGGGTGCAACAATGAATGAATGGAATCCCAAAATCTCTGTAGATGTTCATTGAAATGAAAAATAAACAACCTAAGTTAAAAAAAAAAAAGAAGGCTGACCAGAAAGGGCATGAGCAAATGGATGGAAATGTCACATGGCTTAAGAGGAGTGGCTGCTTTATGAATTCTATTAAATATTTCTTAATTAAATTGCATATATATATTATACTTTAATGAAAAAGTTCAAAAGTAAGTATTGCATTCTAAATTTATATTACCAATATAATCTATGGGTCTCTAGCTCTGCCCACTGAAAGGACAGGTTAGCAATGATGCCGCCAAGAAATCGAGCACACCAATACCTAGGTCAGAAAGGTCTTGACGGCTCAGTAGTCAAGGGCTAGTCTTAAACCAAAGGTCAGTGGTTTGAATCCCACAGCTAGTCCACAGTATAACTGTGCTAAAATCTGATTCCATAAAGATTTAGCTACTCCCCTTCTATTACCATGTTAGTTTTGACTCATGATAACCCTTTGGTTTTCCAAGGTTTTAAGTCTTTATAAGAGGAACTTGCCTGTCCTTCTCCTGGGCTCAGCTGCTGAATTTGCATTGCTGACCTTTGACCTAGCAGTCCAAAGCATAACACCTCTCACCCGCAGGTTTCTTTCTGTAAAGGTTCTAGTCTGTCCTATAAGGTTGCTGTGAGTTTAAATAGAACAAATGGCAGTGGGTGTTCTTTAGGAATGTTCAATGAGATCTCCAAAGGGATAAAGCAGCTCTTGGCAGCAACGCGTGCTTCTCGTCCTGGGTAATGTAAAGTACGAGGCAGTCCTCAGACATACACATGCTTGTTCACTGCATACTAAGCAAACAGGAAGGTGTTAAAGGGTTTCAACAAATCTGTTCACTTGGCAATATGGAATGTTTAAGATATTGGACAATTATTTTTAAATTTTGATAGCATGTGGAAAATGTACTTTACTGCAGCTTTACATTTGCTGTTTAAGTTTTCTCTGCTGGAAGAGGAAAGAGATTTTTTTCAAGGCTGAGTCAGTCAAAAGGATCAATTACTCAAATATGTCAGTGAGCCAAAGTCCAACAGGAACATTTGTCCAAATTCAAAGACAAATGTCAATGACTATGGATCGATTACATAAGAATCTTCAACTCATCTGACCTTTTTTACTGAAGGATTCTCAGACATTTAGGGAAGAGAAAAGAATCTCCCAGAAGATTTGAGAAAGGTCAAAGTACAGACTTGAGTAGTATTTGAATCTAGTCTCCAATAAATTTTTATGAATAGAATTCAAAATCATTTGGAAGGAACATTTTAAGTGAATCTCATCGGCCAGGGGAATATCCTCTGAGTTCCATGGTACATTTGTTTTTACCCCAACTCACCAGCTCCTCGCTCCACCTCCCACCTCCACGGAGGAAGGACTGGAGAAGCAAAGACTGACTTTCTTTCACAGGCTCGAGAGTAATCACATCAAATCCAAGAGTTAAGAATAACACAGCACACTAGAATTGAGTTAATGGACATGACTCATACAAGAGACAGCTGAGTTGAGGCCAGGGTACTTCACACAGCAGAGGAAATGGGAGAGCATATGTAGAAAAGTTTAAGGAAACCAGATGCTAAAAACCAAAACAAACAGGGTTCGTAAATATGAGAATATCATCAACTTATAAGAGTAACTGTGGGTAGGGTACATTAGAGTCTTAAAACCTGAATGTCAAGAAAAATATTAACTCCTAATATGACACAGTTATAAGAGCATAGAATCATTTTGCAAGGATCTGTGTGAAGCTGAAGAAACATTATTAAACATCTTTAATAATGAGGATGTTTAATACAATTACTCTTTCTGATAGAAACACTGACGGTCTGGCAGGTAAAGCATTGTACTATCAACCCAAATACAGGTGGTTTGAACCCACCTTCTAAAACTCTTCAAAGAGGAGCAATCTCCTCACATGTGATTCCAATTCCAATTCATTGGCAGCGCTTGAGTGAATACATCACAAGTGACAGGCTTTCTCAAAACATGCATTGCTGTCTAGTCAGAACCGACTCAAAGCTGACCCTCTCTCTGGGTTTCCAAGGCAATAAATCACATGAAAAGAAACTGCATCTTTGAAGAGTTTTCTTTTTAAAAAGTAGACAAATATAATGGAAACACTGATTACAAATATCCTCCCTATTTTTAACTGCCTTTATTCCATGTCCTGAGTGTCCCTACATTTTGTGTCCAAGATATTTTTCCCAGAATTATCCATTACAAAAGAAATAATCCCAATTTTAATGTGATAACATTTTTTGAAGTATCAAAAAATACTTCAAAAAAACCCACATTTTTTTGAAGTACAAATGATTAAGCATGCTTCTTATCTCTAAGAAATTGATGTTGAGTCAGTATCAACTAATATTTGACTCTGCAAAGAGTTTTCAGAGACTAAATCATTTGAGAGATTCCCCCTCTTTCTCCAGAAGAGCTGCTGGTAGACTTGAACATGCAGAGAAGTACAGCATTTACTTAGACGACCAGCCAAAGCTTCTGAGGACTAGGCCACCAGAACTTCTTACCATCAGGGGAAATGTAGGGTTTACAATCATTAAAATTCACTTGGTAGTAGTGACGGCAGTAAAAGAGCAAACAGATGTTTCTTCTGTTTTACTTAGCATGTGTACCTGAGGCATGGTATAATTATAAAACAAATGATAGTTAATAACTGTAACAACAGTAGCCTGTCTCTTAACTGATGCCAATTTTCAATCACACTCATAAATCCACCAGAAAAGACACATTACTCATCATCACTCACTCTGACACCAACTTGGCACATCAGATCAGGTAGCTCTTTGAACTTCTAATGAGTCTTTACTCACAGGAAGACTTGTATTGCTCACTGGCCAAGCAAAGGTTTTTCAACAAAATATTGTGTTTTGTAATAGCATATATTTTAGAGGTAGTTATGAGGCAATGTCACTCTAAAGCAGTTTAAAACACACATGGCTCAGCCCAACCCGTTGTCATCCAGTTAGATCTGGCTCCGAGCTGACCCCCCAGCATGATTTCAGAGACTGTAGATCACAGGAGGAGAATGTTCATCTTTCTCCCATAGAGCAGATGGTGGATTCAAATTGTGTATCATTGGGTTGTCAGTACAACTCCTATCTACTAGGCTTCTAGTGATTTTTATTTTATATATTTATAGTGATTTGGTTTGATTTTCAGCCACATTTTCAAAAAGGTAATCAAAGGAGGCTCAATTTTTATTTAATAATGTCCTTGTATGTTTTAGAGAGTCCTAATGGTATAGTGCATTTAGTGTTGGGCTGTAAACCAAAAAGTTGGCAGATTGGGTCCTCTTCCCACCCTTTTCGAGAAAAATAAGGCAGCCTCACCTCACCGAGATTCACAGCCTAGGAGAGCAACAGAGGGCCACCATGAATTGTAATGGACTTGCTGATATTTGTCACGGCTTTGGTGTGTTCATTATGCAGTGTTTTACCTCTGATCTCAGCTCATAAATTTCTCTATTCATGTTGCTTTGAGATTTTGATCTTTCTTTTATGTCTCTTGATATTCCCTCCATTTCATTTTCATGGTGACGATGAAAACTGTTAATCTAAAGTAGAAATACAATCTATTACCTCACGCTGCCATGAGGACTGGTCCAGGGTAATACACATCCTCTTCTTTATTGCCCTGGAGACGTGACCAACTCATCACTGACCCTCCTACAAGTTGAGAGAGTTTGGAAACAGCATGGCCTTCGGGTTGGCAGCCTACCTCCCTGTGGACTATGCTACCTGAGTTCCCAAGTCCTCCTTTGTTAGAAATTTTTCTATTTGTATTTTAGGCAATCTATTTCCAGTATGAATTCTGGCAAATTTTTCTTCATCTTTTTATGGGACCATTTCTTTTTATATTTGTAATGGAAGAATCATGAGGGGTTAGAAAACAAACTTCCAAATCTTAGTTTTGTGATTGAAAAAAAATGAGCAAAACTCAGTTATTTCCAAAATTTACCAGTTCACTTTTCACAGTAATCCAGTTGGTACTGATTGTTCAATGCTGAACATTAACACTTCAGTACCTTACTGATTTATATTATCTGCAAACAAAATAATATTTTCATTGAAATAGAAACAAATTTGGAAACGGAAACACATAAATAAGTAGGAAAGTGAGAAAGGAAATGAAAAACCTACTCATTGAGTTTTTCCCATAGCTGCTTTTATAATCAGGGATCTCTGGTGTCCTAGTAGCAAGGAACTGAGATACCAGCCCAGAGACACATGATTTAAACCCACCAGCTGCTCCTTGGAAGAAAGTTAAGCAATTACCTATCATGCAATTAACTGTCTCTTAAAACCCACTGGAAAGTCAACCAAGAGCCAGTTCCAACTCAATGGCACATAGTAACATTTTTATAGTCAGAGGTTCTCACTAAAAAATACCAAACTAACCAAAAATATATATTTACATGTAAATACACAAAATATCTATTTCTATATAAGCACACATATATCTTCCCTAAAATATTAGGTAAAAATTTCCAGTATTCATCCAGGTTGGGAAGTTGTCTGCGGCAGCCAGATTTTACAGAGGTTTGTTTTCTGGTTCTGATGAGGCTTGGGCATGGAATATTTACATGCCATTGGGGTGAGCTGATTTGATTTGGCTTCCTATTTAAAAAGGCACTGGTCTGTCCATTTGGTGTACAGAGGTTGCTGTGATGCTGAACACTGTGACACGGGTGTGTCAAATGTGCTAATAGTTCCCCATGGTGGACAGTGTTCGATGGAGCTCCCCAATTAAAACAGGCTTGGAAGCAGAAGTGGCATCCACTTCCGAAATAGTCTGCCTCTGGAAATTCTATGAACTTGGACAAACTACGAAAGTTATGCAAGTGTTCAGGTCTTTTGTTCAGAGGATCGCTATGAGTCGTATATGACTCGATGGCACTTAACAACATATATAAATTGTATGTAATTCTGTGATAAGTAAAAATGGCTATTATTATTCAATTTCTTTTAAAAATTAAATAATACAGCCACTAAAAATGCTGTTATTGTTAATAATGTTAAGCATGTCCTACTTTCCTGGAATTGAACTTGATATGTACTGCTTTGTTGTTGTTGTTAAGTACTGTCAAGTTGACTGCCACTCATAACAGCTCCATGAACAAGAGAAAAGCTTGCCCTGTACAGTACCATCCTCATGATTACAGTCATGTTCAAGTCCATTGTTGCGCTCATGGTGTCATTTCATTGGCAGGCCTCCTCTCTTTTGCTGACCTTCTACATTTCCAAGTGTATGTTTTTCCAAGGACTAATATCTCCTAACAACATGCCCCAGGTGTGTGGGACTAAGTCTCAACATCTTTGCTTTTAAGGAACCCCTTTGCTTACAGCTTTCCAAGAAAGGTCTGTTTGTTCTTTTGGAGGTTTGTGGTATTTTCAATATTCTTCCCAACAGCATCATCCAGAGGTCTTCCTTTTTCATTGTCTAATTTTCACATGCATGCAAACGTGCTGAAAATACCATAACTTGAATCAGACAGACCTTAGTCTTTAACCTGCATGTTCTACATTAGTCAAAGGAAATCAGACATTGTGAGGATGGCATAGGATCAGGTTAAGTTTTGTTCTGTTGTAAATACGGTCACTAGGGGTTGGGACCAACTTGACAGACCCTTACAAAAACAGTTAATGCTAATAATAACCCCATATATTCTGTAGGTGTTGTATTATTTTTACCTTCCATCTATATCCCTGGATCTGTTTCTCTAGAGAACACTGACACAGACACACTGAAGTTATTTTCTGAAAAGCATTATATAGGTGAAAGCAGACTGACAAGAGAAATGCAGCAGAAGATGGCATAGCTCATCACACTAGAAGTGACTGCTGACCTGTTAACAGACTAAGACACGGTCCATGTTCATAACTGTTCTCGGGCTAGAATGCTGTAAGTAAGGTGAGAGGGAGAATAAGGATAGATAGATAGATAGATAGATAGATAGATAGATAGATAGATAGACAGACAGACAGATAGAGTTGTGTATACCATGAAAATCTGTTTTTGAAAGTTTCTACCCTTTTATGTAAGTTAAACAATTTGGCATTAACCTCTGGCAAAAATAAAATAAAATAAAAGTCATTTAACTGAAGAAGATAATGAATTGCAAGGGTAAAATGAAAGCAACTTATTGTGATAATGGAGTCGCCAAAGTATAATAGAATTCCTTCTGGTAATTGGAAGCCCCAAGTCTAACTTCTAAAATCTTGGTCTCCAATCTGGAGGGAATTAAATCAATTGGAAAGTCCTTCCTTGTCAGCAGAAATTCAATCAGCCTTGCTTACTTCTGGGGGGAGATGAGGCTGGACACATCAGCCACCTAAAATAATTCCATTTTCATTCCCAAGTCTGAGGAGAAAAATCAAAGACATTTGGACACAAGAAGAATGAATTGGGGGCTGGGAGGTCAAGATTAAGAGCTAAAATGTGTTATTGTTGTTAAGTGCCATCAAGTCAACTCCAACTTCTAGTGAGTAACAGAATGTATGATGGGAAAACAACAAACTGTTTAAGACATGAAATAAAATATTATTAAAAACTAATCACTATTTTCAGAAATAAACTGACACTGGTGGCTTAATAGTAAGGAGTTGCTTTGGCAACTCAAAGGTATGGGGTTCAAATCTACCCCCTGATCCAAGGGAGAAAGGTGGGCAATTTGCTATCATGTGATATATTGACTTTGAAAACCTGCGGAAGCATCAGCTATGGATTGGTTCTGATTCAACAATATACAATAACAACATCATCAATTTTTCCTTTAGAAGTCCTGTGGTACAGGGAAGCTCTGGTGGCCTAGTGGCAAGAAGCTGTGCTGCGATTGCAAAGGCACGCAGTTCGAATCTACCAGATGCTCTGCTGGAGAGGGGCAATCTCCTCCTGTGCTACTCTGACTATCTATCCTACCCGATGGTACACAACAAGGGGGGGAAAATGCTGAGAATCCTTGTCGTACAGAGGGTTAAATGTTGGACTTAATCCAATAAGAATCCATTCCCACATCACAGAAATAAGTTAAGGCAGTCTTAGGAACATTATACGTGGAAAGATGGAGGGATGGCGAAACAGAGGAAGACCCTCAATGGGGTGGATTGACACAGTGACTGCAGTAATAGACTCGAGTGTGTCAGAAACTGTAAGAACTGCATAGGTAGCACAGGGTTCAGATCTGCTGTTCATACTTGACTCGACAGCACCTAACAACTAATAGTAAAGCTTCCATAAATAATTACAGATTTGGAAACACTATAGAACAGTTCTATTGTGTTCTCCAAGGTCAAGGTGATTTCAGAATCCACTGGACAGAAGGAGGTATATTGTATTCTTCAACAAGGAGCTTGGGGAAATGTGAAAGTGTTCATGAATAATAGAGGGCATCTCTGGAAAACTTAAAAATATGTCTAAGCATCTTCCCTTTCTAAACATTTACTTCATAAAGTTGGAAAGTAAAATGCCATCTCAAGAAATGGAAATTCCACTCATTCTTTGATCAGGTGAGATTTTGGACTTATCTTAGACATTCTTTTTCTTTCACATGCGATGTCCAAACTAATCAATTCAGCTTAACTTGCAGAAAACACATTGCTCTCGAGTCAGAACTGACTTTAGCTGACCCTTCAGTGGTTTTTCCTAAGATGGTAAATCACGCAGGAGGAAATTGCCCATTTTTCTCCCATGGAACCACTGGTGGATTTGAGCTACCACAGAGGTGGCCCCCTTGAAGTCGGCAATGCAACTCTCCAGGATATGACAAACAGAGCTCCCTTTCAAATGACTTTCAAAACATGTAAAAATCCAGTCACTTCATCAAAACTACACTATTAGTACTTGGATTAAAAGTCACCATCACATCCCACTAGTTAGTTTAATGACTGCTTCACTCCTTGCTCTTGTGCTTGGCTTCATACGCATATTTCTAATACAACAACCAGATAAACGAGCCTTCTGAGAAAGCCATTTCGAAAGTCCTAGTGCTCTGCTTAAACCAGTCAGTGGCTCCCAGTCTAGGCAGTTGATTCACTGGGCCCTTTTGCCTCTGGGTCCAAATATCTTTCCTCCCCAACCTCCCTTATTTCTCTCAGGTCACTTTGACCACCTTTGATGACTATTCCTTGTACAGCAGGGATGCAAAAGCCTACCAGAATATAGAAGTAGAAATGAGACATTACAATGGAAAATAAAAAAGATAAGAGAATAAATGAGGTGTTCTAGCTCAGAGCAACCCTGTAGGTCAGAACAGAACTAGTCCCTGGTGTTCTCACAGCTGAAATCTTTAAGAAAGAATCCTCTTTTTACCACAAAGTGATTGTTGTTGTTGTTGTTATGTCATTTGCGACTCATAGCGACCCTATGCACAACAGCCCTAAACCCTGCTCTATCCTGTGCCAACTGCACCGCCTCTGACACACCCATCCCGATTACCCCAGTCACCGAATCAATCCATCTCATAGAGGGTCTTCCCCTCCTGCGCTGTCCCTCCACCCTCCCAAGCATGATGTCTCTCTCCAAGGACCCGTCCCTCCTGGCAACATGTCCAAAGTA